GTAATATGACGTTTCTACAATTTATTCTAGAAATCGTAATTCATAGTTTAATTTTTGAGAGGAGAACAGAGAATTTTGTTTGTGCGTAAGAAAGTCAGTACCGTTCCAATTCCAATGCAGAAAGTAAAGTGGTGGATGGATGGATGGATGGATGGATGGATGGATGGATAGCTGGCTGGCAGGTAGGCTGGATGGATGGATGGATGGATGGCTGTTTGTCTTGATGCAGGTGATAGCTCAATTCCAAGTAATTTCGAATATATCCTGGGGATTATTATTTTTCTCCAGTTGTCCCGCCAGTCAATCAAAATAGGTCCAAAGTCTCAAAAGATACTTTTCTCTCCTGAATCTTGGGTTCACCAGGTTCACCAGGTTCACTTTCGCGTTTAGGCTAGTGGTAGCTGCCTTTTACGGAATTGAATGTGGTTGGTTTGTTTCCCAGGAACGCCCGTCGCCCAGCTTCCAGGGGATTTATTAGATTGGGTCGTGGGCGGGTATTGATGTGGAAAAGAAGGCCGACAAAGATTCCATACCTGTGTGGTCGATCGATAAGGAAATGGCTTGAAATTAGGGGAAATTGAGTTTTTGGATATTGATCAAGTTTGTTCGAGTTTGTTCGAGTTTGTTCAATATGTGGAAAGCTTGAAGTGGTATAGGAGAATGATTTGTAACTCGGATGTACAGATTACATGTGTAGGTAATGTGTAGGTAAAATTTCCATATTCCATTATGCTAAAAACAACATTTCCCATCTTCTCCCAGGGCGTAAATGTACGAATTATGTCATGGAAACGGTGATACAAGACAATTCAAGGCGAAACAGAAATTCTGGGCAAAAGGAATATCCCCAACTTCCCGCTCTGCACTTCAGCTCGTCTCCCCTCGATGGTTCAGACCATGTTGACTCAGAGTACTGAGTAGCTACCTAGTAGATATACTCGAGTGTCCGATTGTACGATTGTACGATTATACGAGCATACGAGATAGATAAGTCTTCATCACCTCAAAATCATCATAAATCATCAACCTCGCCTTGAGATTCTATTGTAAGAGGACCTAGGAATCCGTCCTTCCACTTTCATCATTCCTCATTTCCTTCGCCAGCTCGAGCGATCACGAGCAAGGGGAACCCGCCATACGCGGCTTCTCCTTGGTCAATCCACGCAGTACCGCACCTTGTGGTTCGGATTTACTTCATTTGTGCACGTGTGCATGTACAGCTTTTGCTTTTGGTACCTAGGTTGCTAGGTATTCTCGATAATTGGAACAATAATGAATTCAAGCATTCGTTTACATTACTTTGTATTCCGTATACATAGTACAGACCTACGTATATACAATATCACACATTCATCCCAGTGTTCCCTCCGGTGATTCGACTTCGATTAATCCGAGTTCCAATCTTATAGAATAGAGTCCTTTTCTGCTTCTAGATTTGTCCCTTCTTCCATAAGTTCTAGACTATGGAGTAGAACTTTGTGAACTTCGTTAGCCCTTTTGACCTTTTCAGTCATTGGCCCCCATACTCATCAATCTAATCCCAGCATATCAATTTCCTTGGCCCGTCTCTTTATTTCCCTTTAAGAACTGTTCAAGCACAGCCATGTTCTACTTATTAATTTCAACGGGTTCTGGGTCACCGGTCATTAGTATGTGAGTAGGTGTCATGCTAGGTACGAATCTGAACAATGCATTATGCGATTGCGAGTGATATCAAGTGTTTCATTCCTCTATCTTTCTTTCTAAGAAGACGCTCATTCATATCAGATCCCCGCCCTGAACGCCACAAGAAATGGGTATACCCTCGTAATCTCAACGCCACTATAAGAAAATCGTAATGCAACTGTTCAAAACCATGCTAATGTCCATACTGCTGGTAGATTTGGCCATCTTTCCTGCCACTCTCCGATTATTTCCGGCACTCTTTCATCAAAACCGGCCCTGCTATGAGCACTACCACTGTCGAATCCGGTAGGATTAAGTTCCCTTTCCTCGGCAGCAGCTTTGTTGAGGGAATCGGCAAGGTCAAGAATTCCCCTGCCGCCGACTAGAGCCTCTTCATGATTATCTTTGATATCAACATTGATGACATGCACTGGACGATTTAATGGGGAGCCACGATTGAGGAGGTCATCCACGACAGCATCCCAGCATCTTTCTTCACAGGTAATAACAACGTCAACGACACCTCCTTCTACTCCTTCGGCACCTTGATCTGTATTGTGTTGTAGTCTTGGAACACCGACTTGCCAATCTTGCCATCTCTCTGGCCCCCATTTTACTGATCTATTCCGCCCAAGCATATTCAAAATACCATTCGCGCGATAGAGACGCGGATCTTTAGATTCGAGTTCTTTATACATGCTATCATACGACGTCTTGTTGAATTGGTAGACATTAGGTTGTGTTATGGAAGGTCCTGGTAATCTAACTAAAGAACCTGTTCCAAATGATATTACAGGGTAGTGAGCAGCAGCGAGACGTAGGTGTGATTCCATGGATCTGTGAGAGGACCATGTTAGATACAAACTAGAAGAAATATGAGATGTGTTCAGTGTACCTATTATTGTTGCTGGCACAAACAGTGCAGAATTTGAGTTTGAAGCCTCCCGAATCTACTCGTTCACCGTTTGACGCGAACTGAGGTGTGCTACCACCATTGGCAGTCGATACTGGAGCTTGAGACATGATTCTTGAGGAATTGTAGTTGTTGTAAAGTTATTGCAATCTAGATATTTGCGGGGACAGAAGAAGTTCGGGCACTTTTCGTCTCGACACGGGGTTCAAACTTCCAATGGTACCGAATTCAAGTTGTGGATATTACTGCAGAAGCTATGTTCAAAGTCAGCTACGTGTCAATACACTACAATGTATGTGATCATAAACAGAATTGTTTTGCAGAGCATTCAGATATTGTTAAGTTGCGTAAATAAAAATTGTGTCATCAGTTTTTGATAAGACAGCTCCAATAATAGGAATCATCAGGTTGCTACAGCGGGATGGGGCAGGAAGAAAGAGAGAGAGAAGACCCAGGAAGATATTGGTTCCTTTCAGGATATGGTACATACCAAACATTTCAAGTTCTACTGTAAAGTTTCCAGTAGAGTGAGAATCGCAAGAGACATTGATTCAAGTCAAATCAAGAGAGATGTTGACGATGGTGGTGTTGTATGATTAAAACATGGAAGAGCTTGAAAGCTTATTAATAATGAAGCTAAGAAAATTCTCGGTTAAAAGAGAGAAAGATGAACCAATAATATTGAATTATGCTGAATCGCACTTAGCCTCTTACGGAGAGTAGCACGTACAGCACGTACAAGGTATATATCTAGGTGTCGTAGCATCCAAAAAGATCAACCAACTGAAGAGCACATGCTGATCAACTACTTGCAGCCTGTGGCACCTACGTGCATGTTTACATCAATTTGGTGTTCTCTTCCTAACACATGATTGGCTCTTCTGCAAGTCTGAAACGTTGAAACGGAACTTGGGAAAAAACGATCATTACCTACCCTTTGGTGTTGGTGGGAATTGTAATGGCGTGTTACCGAAATAGAAATAGAAATAGAAATAGAAATGGAAATTGTTCTTAAAGTCATCAACTGAAAAGCCCACTCGACTCAAATTGATCAATCGCATCAACGAGAAACGGACTTTCCAACCCGAAACCGAATAGAGCGCATGTATTTTCATACAAAGTGTCTTGTAAGCCACTCAACTCAAGAACGAAATGGACAGACTGAAAAGAGTGAAGAGTGAAGAGTAAAGAGCGAAGATTGATGAGTGATGAGTGATGAGTGAACACACATGTCTTGAAACTTCTATAGTATTTGCTTCGCCCTTACCTACTTCTCTCTATTATGATCGACCTCCCCATCTTCTTCTAGGTGTTGTACTCCGTTCGACCTGGAGAGTGGGAGAAACGACTTTGTATGACTTATCATTATATCTCTAGCACAAACTTCAAGCTTCTTCTTTTCCTTTCTTTTCTTTTTCCAATTCTTCCGTCTCTCTGCTTTTATAGTCTGGGGTAAATCTATCTGTACATCGTATAACTCTTTTGATTCGCATGTCTGCCTCCCTACCTACCTACGTTGACAGTACCACCGGTTTCCTCCATCTCCCAGTCCATTCATACATCCCAGACTGCTATCTGCATACATTCATTGCCTAATTTCCATGTCAAATACTCGAAGTGTGCGGGGTCCCTTGTCGAAATCCACCCAAGAGAATTTTGAAAAAGGACCTCGAGCCTTGAACCCTCGGCGCTTCGTAGACAACTCACGCAGCTTCAAAGGAACTTCGCCTTAGTCGTTTTGAACTCTAGAGCGTTAATTCAAAGCAAAGCATCCCTTCGGCGCAAAGACTACTCTGTTGATTTGTGAATCTTCAAAGTCAACAGTATCCTGCATTTGCAATCCCAGAGACTCTTTTCTTTTCTCTTTGCTTCATTGTTTCGTTGGAGCCCTGTTGGTTTGTAATTGGATACCTTGAAAGTTGAGGGAAAAGGTCTGACAATACGCACGAGCTTCCTCTGATCTTTTTTAACATTGAATTCGAACTCCAATCAACCTATACGCTCATACAAGTTCACAACCCACCTCAATTATTGACAAGCGCTATCAAGAATTTGACTTTCGTTCTCTCAGTATTTATCCTTTTGCAACTGCGCGCCTGCCGCGCTAGCACCAACTCGTTTGAACGACTATCTACCATTCCTAATACACATCGTCGACGATACCTTTCTCCGTCTCATACTCGACATAATTGAGGCCAACCTCGGGCTTGCTTTAAGCGCTAGGACCATTAGATCCTCCCTTCAATCTCAAATCTTGAACGACAAGTGACTGTCTTTCTGCCAGCCTTCTCACTGCGAAACATAACGGCAAGCTTGCTGGGCAAGTAATTGTTCACATTAGGCCCATTTGTCTGAATCAAAGCATACAATTTTGTCCTCAAAGCGCAGCCTTCAAGCTGATCGCAAATATATTTGCTTCGATATGGCAGCCGTAATTTCTCCAACGTCTCCAGCTACGTCTCCATCACCAGTTAGTTCTCCCTCGTCGAATCCTAACCATCCTTCCCTCCCACCTTTAAACACTTCACCAACCGCAAAGCGACCAAATTTGCAGCGTCCTACATCTCATGCCTCAAAGAATAGATTATCACAATACTCGAATTATTCTGCGCCGTCACGTTCGCGACCTCCTTCACATATCTTTCCGGTCTTTCATTCTAGTCTTTCATACACGACAGTTCGCGATTTCGCATACCCTTCTTTGCATCCTATGCACTATGGACCGCCTCTAGAGCCGTCTCAACCGCCATCGGGCCTCTCGACACCAGCTAGCGAATCGCATAAACGATTGTCAGATCCCCCAACTTCATGGGATAATCGCGGATCTTGGGGACCTGGTCCATGGGGTGGTGATGGATTTATGAAAGGGGAACAATTGGCGCCTATACACTTTGGTGATGGACCTCCATGGAGTGAAGACGAGGATCTACAAAGTCCGGTTGTCGTTAGTTCACGCCACAGGAAGCACAAATCATCAGTGGGAGAATATGGACATTCGCGTGGGAGAGGGCGAACGCCCAGGGATGGAGAGCGCAGAACAAGCATGCTAAGTCAAGAGAACTTTGAGGACGACGGAGGATATTTCGCCGGTGGCAGTGGTGATAATAGCGAAAGATATTATGTCAATCAAGGAGAGGAGGCAGATGGACCTGGTGGAGAATATGTTACATACCCCTCGGAGTTGGCAAGACGCTCAATGCTAGCGCCGTATAATGTTCCAGGTCAACGAGATTCTCACTTCGCTGGCCTTTTGCCCAGTCGCTCATATACGGACGAGAGTGGCCAAGACTACCGCTCGGAGTCTGATGCTTCGAGTACTGCATCATCGCCCGGCATGACTAGACATGATGAATCGAGATATTCTCGCGATTATCAGTTTACAATTGCCTCGCCGGACGAAGAGATGCATGGTAAAGCCGTTGCATTATTTGACTTTGAACGAGAGAATGAAAATGAACTGCCTTTGGTAGAGGGTCAAGTAATTTGGGTCTCATATCGACATGGCCAAGGCTGGCTTGTCGCAGAAGATCCCAAAACACAGGAAAGCGGTTTGGTTCCTGAAGAATATGTTAGGCTACTGAGAGATATTCAAGGAGGCTTAAACAGCTTAACAGGACAAGTTGAGCTTGCTAGTCCCGTGGGAGGTGACTCGGGTACACCTACTCAAGCGGAACACAACCAAGCATTCGGGCACAACCCAAGTTCGAGTAATGGGAGCAATGGGTATCAACAGCCTGTAGTATCTACCTTCTCAACATCCTCTAAAGATTTACACCTATACCCTCAACATCTTCTGGGAACACAGGCTGGTCAAGCTCCACCTCAAGTTATACATTATCATGGGCAACGAGGTGGCAGTCAAGCCAATACGCCTACTATACCTAACTCTCATGAGGGTCTTATAGAAAGACCCAGTAGTCGAGAAGCTACAAATGGGCAGCTTGAAGAGCAGCCGAGTAGTAATACAGCACCTATTGAATCCACTCATTCAGATTCGGAAGTAAAGCTCTCACCATCAGTCGCCGTTCAAAGCCCCGAAAGCCCCGCCGATTCTTCTAATGACACAACAAACGAGACACACGAAACTCCGGCTCGATAACCCAAACATACATTGCTCACGAGTATTATGAATTAGTAGACGAGATGGAATATGAATTTTGGGGTGGGATTCTTCGGATTTGATAGTGATACCAGGTGATTGGATGGATGTGTGTGCCATATATGATACGTTATTATAGGAATTGAATTGAATCGATTGGGAGATTGGGATGGATTTTCTAGATTTTCTAGGAAAGGGAGTGCAAAGGAAAAGGAACTTTCTGATATGTCTTAACTCTGTCTCTGTGATGCTATGGTAGGAGTAGGATGAATTGGGAAATGGAAGGAAGGGAAGGGAATTCATAGGGGTTGCTGGATTAGCATGATATTGATGATGGATGAATGGATGGATGGGGTCTAATGATGCATTTTTTGATAGGAAGAATTATGCTATAACGTTTTTATGTGTTCATGCTTTACGTATCTTTTTGGTCTGTGTGTATTGTATTGTATTGTATTGAGTATGTGGATGAGTCTATATATTCGTATCTTTTAGTATATCCTAATATTGATATATATGTATTCATATTTTGGGGATTTAGGCCAGCGAGAAGAGGAAACGGGGAATAGATATATTACTATGGAAATTGAATACCTACCTAGGTCGTGTTTTTTCTCTCCTCTCGTCTCGAACGCGCAGTGATGCGAATGCGACGTGGTTGTTCGCATCCATGGCTAGTACGAACTTGTAAGTCACGATTTCTTCATGGGTGAGTAGATATAGCTAGATACTCGGTGTGGGTTCTGGAGAAGAAGATCTTGGGCTTTCTTCTGTGTTGGATGATTGGAATTGGTGGAGTGTTGGATCATGGGAATGTCAGATGATTAGATGATTTGGTTTACCTACGACCTTGGACTTGGATGTTTATTGTGGTTGTCTATATACATCTATATATATCTATATGTGTCTATACGTGTGTGTCGGTTGTACTTATTGTGCTTGTTGTAGTCTGATTCAGTGATGTTTTTTGTTTGTTTGGTAGGTAGGTAGGTAGGTATATGACTGGATGAATATACGTTGAATTTATTGCCTTCTTGAGTTTTTTAGACTGTATATAGTTTGTAGGTTGTGTATCTTGGACTTTGGGTGTTGCTTGTTGATTCTTGGAGGGGAGAGGGTGGGTTGCGGCATAGGGGTAGAGATGGATGGATGGATGAATATGTATGGAATCCAAATCGTGGATGAATAATTTGGCTATTAGCTATTAGCCGTATCTATCTACCTTCCTCGGATAGGAGGTCGGTTAATGGAGATGGATACTAATAGAGAGGAGAAGGAGAAGAGAGAGACAACACGAGATAGAGTCTATTCACATACACATATACACATATACACATACAAACACCTAATACATCTCAAAACAGTAAATCAAATTTGCAAAGGTAACAAGTAGATGAACTTTACAAGTGTGTATCAGTAATCCTAATACCCATCTAACATCTGATATAGTATATCTAGCTAGGTAGATAGATAGATAGCTATGATATAACATACAATATATACCTACTCAACTTTTTGATTCTTCTACACGCTGGATTGTGAGTCGCGACCTAGTTCATACTGATATTCGACATGAATCTTGAGATTGAAAGCATTATATAATTTCTGCCAGGTTTCTCTAGAGTCTAGCTACCTAGATATAGATAGATGTGTAGGTAAGAAAGAGAAAGAGAAAGACACTTCCAAATTCCTTTTCTTCTCCCTTGAAGATATCTACATACCCGGTGCATGATATACGTATGCATGTACGAATTGGAATAAGTATATGAATGTAAAAGTGGTATCATCAAGGCCTGGGGGATACCATGTTGTGATGAAGTGAATAAACTGGATGAGCTAAATGTACGGTAAATTTATGACTTCTACATTTCTCATCTTGATCAACATGATGTCATGCCGACAACTTTACAGGGCCTAGGTCATTACCCTTTCACCCCATCACCTGTGAAATTGCATGGAGTGGGAAGAGACATGGAGATCATGATAACATGCGATTCAAGGTTACAGTTTGCAAAGTGGGAGATGATGTTGTGATATCCGGTTGACATTTCTATTATTCTAATTAAATTGAAATGGTATGTTTGCAATACAATGACTTCCCCTTCATAAAGAAGGTTATTGAAGTACGGACATTGTACTCGGTGTCACCACCTGAGATACTTGCATGATTTTGCTTTCAGCACATCTTCGGCACAACCAACAGTCATTGAAAAAAGACCGAATTGTAATTTGACATCCGTGCTAGACCTTCCCTCAGTTGCCTAACCTTCTTACTCGATTGACTTCCTCTCCAATCACACTCACAACTTCGACTCCTTTCAAACCTAACTTCACAGTCTCCCAAGATTTGGGATCAACGGCCCGAGTTCCCTCTTCCAGAATGAAAGTGTTGAAACCTTCCGCCGCGGAATCCTCGGCAGTGCACTTGACACAATAATCGGCAGCTAGACCTACTACATAGACATGGGTGATACCTTCGTCTTGTAGATAGATCGCCAATCCACTATCACTACACCGAGGACTCTTCAAGGGATCGTAAAATGCTGAATACATTTCTACATCAGGATGTTGTCCCTTGAGAATAATTTGGGTAAACTTAGGTGTGTCCAACTCAAATGGGAACTCGGAGCCGAGCGTGTCCTGAATGCAATGAGGTGGCCAGAGACGTGTTTGATAAGTCTCGGAAGGATTGGATGGGTTGATGATCGTGGTAAAATCTGCAAATGGTTGTTTACCTGCATGGTTTGAAGCAAAAGATGTATGGTTTGAAGGATGCCAATCTTTGGTGGCGATCTTAAGGTGAAATGGAAGACTGAGGAGGTTGTTGATGATAGGAATTGTATCTCTACCATTGGTCACAGCTAAAGAACCATTCTGGAGATTTGTCAGTATGAATTGGTGGATGGATGAAAGGGGAGTGGAGTTGATAGGAATTGTAACTTACTGGAGGTAAAAAATCTTCTTGAAGATCTACAACAATTAGAGCAGGCTTGAAAATGGAAGGAGGTGACATGATAAAGTTAGTTGGACTGATATGATGGATAGTTGGTGTTGATTGATCAGATAGTGATTGTTGGTGAAGTAACTATCGATAAAATAGATTAAATTCCCAAAGTTTATTCTTATCCGACAAAGTATGAACCAACTTGTGGTCTGTTTTGATGTTGTATCTGGATGGACTCCAACAATGATAAAAGATTGAACTTTGACATCAACCCCACCAAGAAAACATTGGCATTCACGATGAAAAGGGTTTGATGCCGATACAAAGCAGCAGCATCATGTGATTTGGTTCTTGATGAAAGTTCTTGATGGAAGGAATAGAAAGAAGCTGGAAGGGAATGGAAATACGATATGCGGCATACGTATGCGGTAGAAGGAGAAAGCTTATTTCCGATACGGATAGCTGATGCTGATTTGTCGGGACGGGATATTAGCCAATACTATTATACTATTGGATAAGAACTTCTCATGTCTGCTTGATGAATTGGTCAATGAAAAGAAAGAGACTTGTTCCTGCAGAAAGGAAGTCTCGGACAGGACAGGACAGGACAGGACAGGACAACAGTCGGAACAGCTGTACAGTGTGCAGAGTGATGAGGCCTTTTTGTTTTATACCTGGATCCAGTAGTAGCTCTCAACATACTCGGTATACTTTGGCACTTTAGGATTGACTGGTTTGTGTGGGATGAGAACGATATGTAGACGTGAGAATGTGTGCAAGTAAACAGCCAAACAGCCAAACAGCCAAACAAATGAACAATGTTTGAGGGATGGAAGAACAATATGAAGGATCTGAGAGAAAGAGATTGAATCTTTTCCAAGGGGCAGAAAAAAGTTGAAGTCGGTTGGAGTGGAATTGAAAAAGATTTCTAAAAGATCGACTTTTCTAATTTCCTTTATCACAAACCATGCTTGATGCAAACACTAATCCCTTTCAAGGTTAACTCGCAGATAGTGTCACCGCCTAGCTAATGATTAATTTGATCCCTGATTGACAAGCAAAAAGTCAACAAATATATCACGCTTCCTTTCCACTATGGAGTCCCTTCTTCTTAAAGCTTAAACTCTCGCGGTGGATTTTTATGTGATAACTATTACTTGACCATTACATGACAATCACGCCCCGTTGTGTCCTTTGATCTCTTTCTCTTGGTCACACAAATCAAGATATCCCACCTCCAGGAGATATCGCGCCACTTCTATCTTTGCTTATATCTCATCTTTTTTTGCTCGGTCTCAACACCAGCACACCACTCCTTTTTTCCTTTTCAAAAGCCATCTCGTCGCCATTCTTGGAGTTGTAGAGACAGATAACTTCAAAAGCACATCGGTAGGTTGTATTCTCTTACAAGCCATGCATTTACTTCAGAACTCTCTGTTGTGCGAGCTTTCTTTCTCGTCAGCTCAGCACATGGGAGCGGGAGTTTCTTTCGTCTTGGGTCCATCCCCAGTTTTGCTCCTTTGCTCATTTGCCCGACACACGCTTTTGGCTCATCTACTGACGGTTTCTTCAGATCCAGCCTTTTCGGAACCACATACTTCCCTTGTCGATGGCTTTGATTTAGAATACAACTAAGCCTGTTTGTACTTCTTCCACGATGATCGGAAATTCGTTCCTACCCTCGCGGTTCAGGGGAGCCTCGTCTACCAGTGAAACCAATGCCTCTCCGTTATGGCTCAATAAGAAGGCCACCCCACTTCTCCAGCTTCTCTCCCGACGAGCATGTCTACATCCAATCCATACCATCGTTATAGTTGCGGTTTTGGCGAGTACCACATACATGGGACTTTTGGACAGTAGTCTCTTTGATTCCGTGAAAGCTAGTGGTGCCGATAAAGCAACATGGAGCTCTCTTGTTGCCGGTAACCGTCAACTTCAGATCGGTTCCGAGACTGCCTGGAAATGGCAGGCCTCGGATGTGGAAATTGTGCCATCTAACGTTGATCACTTGGCACTTTTGACTTTTGTCTTCCCAGACTCTGCTGCCGCCAATTCTTTGCAGGCAGCCCCATTAGCAGATTCGGTACCATTACCACAAAACCTTTCAGTCACTCCTCTTCCAATAACTTCGAACCCTTTGGCTTCCCTGTCACAAGACAGTACTTTAGCTTTTGCTGTTCCCTACAATCAAGCCCCTGAATTCCTCGCCAAGTCACAAGAATTGCCCAATTCCGCTGCTACAATTCCCACCGATCCTAATGCTCGTCAAGGACAGGAGGCAGAGCTTATCAAGGAGAAAAAGATGTGGATTATGAAAGCTGCAAAGGGAGATGAAACCAAAGGAGGATTGAGAAATTGGGCAACAAACGCCTGGACTGAATTTGTAGACCTTCTCAAGAATGCCGAGACACTTGACATCATCATCATGGTACTTGGTTACATATCGATGCATCTTACCTTTGTCTCGTTGTTTGTCTCCATGAGGCGTATGGGTTCAAACTTTTGGCTTTTTGCTACCACACTCTTCTCATCGGTTTTTGCCTTCCTCTTCGGGTTGATCGTCACTACAAAATTGGGTGTTCCCATGAACATGGTATTGTTGTCGGAAGGTCTCCCTTTTCTCGTTGTGACCATCGGATTTGAGAAGGCTATTGTCTTGACAAAGGCGGTTTTGTCGGCGTCACTCAATACCCAAAGACCTAATGCTGAAGTGGCAGAGAAGAAGCACGGGGTATCTCCTACTTCCATTCAATACGCAGTCCAAGTTGCCATAAGCGAGAAGGGATTCGAGATTGTCAGGGATTATGCCATTGAAATTTGCATATTGATTGCGGGAGCTGCTTCGGGCGTCCAGGGAGGTCTTCAGCAGTTCTGTTTCTTGGCTGCCTGGATTCTATTCTTCGACTGTGTTCTCTTGTTCACTTTCTATACTGCAATTTTGAGTGTTAAGCTTGAAATTAACCGAATCAAACGCCATGTTGCTCTGCGCCAGGCATTGGAGGACGATGGAGTTAGCCCACGAGTAGCTGAGAACGTTGCCCAAAGTGACGACTGGCCTCAGGCCGACGGTTCCAAGACTAGTGAGGCAAACATCTTTGGCCGTAAGGTCAAGGGTAGCAGCATCCCAAAGTTCAAAGGGTTGATGGTTTCTGGGTTTATCATCATCAATCTTCTCAACCTCTGCACTATCCCATTCCGAGGCGGCAACAGCAGTATTCAATTTCCAGGTGTAAACATGCTTTCAGGGTCAAGTTTCTCAAGTGTCTTGACACCACCGCCAATGGATCCCTTCAAGGTTGCATCTAACGGCCTGGATATGATTGCCGAGATGGCAAAAGCCCATGATAAGTCAACAATTGTGACCGTACTTACGCCAATCAAATATGAGCTCGAGTATCCTTCAATTCATTACGCTGAACCGGCATCTAAGCATCGTAAACATGCTGCTGATGACTTTGATGCTGAATTTGCCGAATATGGAATGGGTGGTCGAGTTGTGGACAATCTTTTGAAGAGTTTTGAGGACCCCGTTCTTTCCAAATGGATCGTCGTCGCTCTCACATTGAGTGTTGTGCTCAATGGATATCTTTTCAATGCCGCTAAATGGAGTATTGGCAAGGAGCCACTTCAAATGCCCCCACACCATACTGTTGATCCCAAGGAGCTCGACCAGGCTGAGAGATTCAACAACTCTGCCTCCACCCCTGTATTGAGGTTGGCAAACATCGATCCTAATGCTTCCGACAATGTACCATTGACCCCCGCGAGAACGCCAGCTATGACTCCGGTTTCCACTGACGATGAGGACGAGGGATTAACAATGCCTGATAAGAGTACAACTCAATCTCAATTGCGCCGAAGTCAGCAAGAGCTTGAAAAAATGCTCGAAGCGAAACGTGCGCCAGAGTTGAATGATGCGGAACTCATAGAGTTATCCATGCAAGGCAAGATTCCTGGCTACTCGTTAGAAAAAACTTTGAAAGATACCACTCGCGCCGTGAAAATCAGACGTGCCATCATCTCACGAACCCCTGCTACTTCGGAAACCACACATCTTCTCGAAACTTCATTGTTGCCATACAAGCACTACAACTACGATCGTGTTCTGGGCGCCTGCTGCGAAAACGTCATTGGTTATCTTCCATTGCCTCTTGGTGTCGCTGGTCCAATTGTCATCGATGGACAAAGTTTCTTCTTGCCCATGGCCACAACTGAAGGTGTTCTTGTCGCAAGTACCAGTCGCGGCTGCAAGGCCATCAACTCTGGTGGTGGTGCTGTTACCGTGTTGACTGGTGATGGTATGACTCGTGGCCCATGTATTGCTTTCGAGACTCTTGAGCGTGCAGGAGCCGCTAAGGTTTGGCTTGATTCCGAAGCTGGTCAGCAGACTATGACCGAAGCATTCAACTCTACCAGTAGATTCGCAAGACTTCAATCTATCAAGACAGCCTTGGCAGGTACCAATCTCTACCCTCGTTTCAAAACTACTACCGGAGATGCAATGGGAATGAACATGATCTCAAAGGGCGTTGAGCACGCTCTGAAAATTATGTCTACCGAATGTGGCTTTGACGACATGGAAATCATATCAGTCTCGGGTAACTTTTGTACCGATAAGAAGGCTGCTGCTGTTAACTGGATCGATGGACGTGGTAAAAGTGTTGTTGCTGAAGCAATTATTCCCGGTGATGTCGTTCGCAAGGTTCTCAAGACTGATGTAGATGCTTTGGTTGAACTGAACATCGCCAAGAATCTCGTTGGAAGTGCAATGGCCGGTGCTATGGGTGGTTTCAACGCCCACGCTGCTAATATCGTCGCTGCAATCTTCTTGGCTACGGGTCAAGACCCCGCACAAGTAGTCGAGAGCAGTAGTTGTATCACACTCATGAAGAAGTAAGTTGCTTATATTAAAGTTCAGGGACATATTCACTAACAACATTCTACAGTCTTCGCGGTAACTTGCAAATTAGTGTTTCCATGCCTTCTATCGAAGTTGGTACTTTGGGTGGTGGTACTATTCTTGAACCTCAAAGTGCCATGTTAGATCTTCTTGGCGTTAGAGGCTCTCACCCAACGAACCCTGGTGACAATGCCCGCAAACTTGCACGTGTGATCGCCGCAGCTGTCTTGGCTGGTGAACTTTCTTTGTGTAGTGCTTTGGCAGCTGGTCATCTCGTACAGAGTCATATGGCACACAACAGAAGTGCCCCAGCCACAAGAGCCAATACCCCAGGCCCAGCAAGTGGTGCACAAACACCAGTGACTGCAGCAATGACAGCTATGCGAGAGAGAGCTGGTATGGCTGCCTTGTCTCCGGCTGCTGTTCTTAGAGGTGCAGGAGCGAAGAAATAGGAGATAGTATTTAATGTATAGGCATAGAGAAGTGCGATTGCATGAAGAAAATGGCGTTAGGGGTTTGTTCATAGCAACGGGACTGTTTTTTTTTCCAACGATATTTAGCGGAGGCTTATGATACGTGTATTACCTTTTCGCTTATGGAACACTTCTTGTTTCTCATATTTGAAGTTTGTTGAATGGACTCGGATATAGAAGAGTTGTTAGATATTTTAGATTCAAATGAGACTTGATAGTCACCAGCTTGATTTGCGATTTGTCAGTATTATGGCATTGTCTTTTTAACTTCTGATTGGAGTCGATATTTGTGACAACGCTTTTGACCTTCCCATCACTTTATATCACCTTTTTTTAATGAAAAGGTTGAGATGATATGCATGCATACGTATAGTCAAAGCATTAATTAATTTATTCTCGCTATTGCTTTCGCCCTTCTTCTTCGCTAGTGTTGTATTGAGCAAACACAGTATTAAGTATATAACCAGGGGCATTTAAGCCCTCCCAACCCAAAAATTACCTCGCTTTATCTAATGAACATTTTCTCTCAACCCACTTGTCCTCAAACTACGTCCTGCCATGACCAATGGCTCCTTTTGAATTTGACCATTATGCGCCGCCTGTGCATTTCCATTCCCAGCACCATTTTCCAAGCCCGATCCAAGTCCTACTCCCCCATTTCCATGTTCCAATGCCTTTCTCACCGCATCACCGACCCCCGTCGCCACCGCGCTATCTTCGCTTCCCCTTCTGCTTCCTCCTCTGATGGTTCCAGCACCTCCAATTAGCAATCCTTTTACCCCGCCTCTTTTCCTTTCTGGTAATTCTTCGGAGCCTGCGCTACAAACGTACAATAGGTATTTTAGATTCGGAACTGTTTGTCTGATATCTAGGACACGGAGACCCTGAGATTCGGCTAGTGCTTCGATGTTTTTGTTCAGGAGAAATACGCCCCAGTCGAAACGGAAGCGAATGACCGATTGGGGGTAGAGGGGGAAAATTCTTTGCCGGTCTTGTACGAGGGAGATAGGGTCGTGGATGAGAGATCGGGAAGCATGCGGTGTGATGGGGTAGGGGAGTGGAACTCCTAGATAGTACTGGAGATGATTGACCAATTGCGCGACATAGCCTAGAGCGGCGGCTACGACATCCTCGTCGGCAGAAGAGATATTGTCGTCATCAGTGGTGTTTGGGAGAGGGAGACCGCAGATTGTGAAGAGAAGAGGGTGAGAGGTGGGTTCGATGGGGTAGATTTCGATGAGTTCTTCACAGAGGCGACGGCGATGATCGCGGATAAGGGACTTAGTATTTGTGAGGAGAGTACGGGAATTATTGAGATGTTCCTGGGCATTTTGAACATCGGTCTCGGCGGCAGATTGGACCGCATAACCGGAGGAAATTGCGGCGCGCCGTGAGGATATAGATGCTTTTAGATCGTGCTGACGAGCTTGGGATTGGTGGAGGAGTTTGCGGGATGTGGTAACATAACGTTTTGCGAGGGCGAGAGACTCTTTGGCAACGGGGATATATGTTGACGGAGAAGTGTTGTTGGTAAGTATGTTGTTTATTTGAGAAGTTAGTTGTTCGCGGGTAGCTAAAGCATCTTGGATGGATTCATCGAGATTCGAGAGGCGCATCAATGCATTGTAGGAGGATGTAGGAAGCGCAATGCTAGGCCTTGGTCGAGGCGGCTTGGAAGTAAGATCAATGGTATATATGCCATCTACGAGCTGGAAAATAATAGAATTGGGTGGGAAAGGGTGATTCTCCAGTCGTCCTAAGAATTGCAATGACTGGAGATTAACTTCCTCTTCGATCAGTGGAACGAAATCTTGTCGTTTAACCCATATCTTTACAATAACAGTATCGAGTCGCGTCGTCGCAGGACCGAATGGAGATAAATCGAAGGATCGAAACGTAGGATTCATTGCCTTCTCTACAACCTCGCTGATATATATCGGATCATCCTGACCCTCGCAATGCAATGTGAAGAAGCTATCTGCCATTCGACTATCCCTTACATCCTCCAATTTCTTCTGTCTTATAGACGGACTTGCCCCTACCCAATTGGAACTCGATCTCCTGGTTCTCGCAGAAGGTCGTAAATCCCCCGACGATTGCGCATGATGCAATTGCGACTCGCGGCGCAAAGCCTCGAGCTTCTGTGGTGATTTATTTAGACCTGCATCGTCGATTGTTTTCCCCCGCGGACGAGAAAGAGTCAGATTTCGGACGTATATGCCTTGTAAGTGCCGTAGTTTCCGATTTTGAGGCAGAATCAATGGCCGCGAAGCCTCGGAACTCATATTGTTGATGATATGGTTTCATGGAGTTGCTTGATGCTATCTATTCGCATTAACGAAAGATGGTTGTCGAGACCGAGCCTTGACCAATTAAAACAAGGCTGCTATTCAGCCTCGTCAACGATGGATCTTTGGACGAACCTCGTACATATATATATGCATGCATGTTGATTGATTCTCAACAGTGTTACGATATCGATCGATTGCGTTATATTGATTCGTTTGGCTGTTTCTGGTGTATGATGATCAGGATGATATTTATATCGCGTCTCTAATGATTTGCTCGCATTGGAGTCTCAGCACCGCATTCCTTTTGTCAAGTGGCTCAAGTGTCTGTATGCTCTCATGCGCCTAGAACAACAAATTGCTCCCAGTAGTAGCTTCGAAGAACCATCAACGTCTCAACTCTTGAGGCCTGCAAGCTGCCATGGCCCACGACTCAGTCATCTTGTGAAGTCACGCAAATTGAACTTAAGCTATAAGAATGCACTTGCATCTTCCATTTCTTATATTTCTTTCTTGAATGGATTCAACGCTTCGGTATGAGTTGGATTACCGAGTGGGAAATAATGGCCAACGCTTTTGACTGCTCGGAATTATTTCGAGTAGTCTGAAAATGCTGTAAAGGAAATTGCCGTTTAGGACCGATTTACGTTAAGTGTTAATTATTGAGTAATAAATATACAGATCTCTTTAGGTCAACTGATTCTTAACGCTTACTGCTTTTGGTGGTTGCTTTCTGTTGTTATACATGATGCCTCTACGTAAGCGAAATTAATGGGGGTTGAGTGCGTTCGAAAGGTCTTTACAACTCAACTGATCCTTTTCAAAATTGAACAAGATTTATTCTGTTATGAAATTTAAGTTAAAGAGAAAGTAAGTTGATTTGTAGTTCCAATTAATCAATGAGGTTGAAGTACCCAAATCCTGTTACTTATTTCCCTGCCGTAGAGGATGCATCTTGGTAGTTCTGAAAATACTTTCCCCCTCTTCCTGGTTTAACCTGTAACGAATACTTGACCAAAGAAGAGTATATACAAACAAAAGAGGTGTATGTTAATGTATGAGCATGAGGGTAAATGTTTTGTTCATCTTAAGTCTAAGTCTATCTATTCTAAGTTCCATCTAGGTTATATAACAGTGAAACAAGTGATGTCACCTATAGTGTGAAAGATTGTCCCGTTGCACTTACTCTAGATATTAGTTAGCTTCGCACAAGTCTTCCTTAGCACAAAAGTTAAACCCCCACAAGTAGAAAAACCTCGAAAGTCCGTAGTTATCATCCATTCATCACTATCTTCGCCAAAATTCTCGAGATTCGGATTCTCATTGCCCCCTCAATCAACAGCTTCGAAAACTCAGACCTCCTTCAACCCACGTATCGAACTATCACCATGGCTTTCTTGGTCTTCAAGGCTTGTCCCAGCTGCCTCAATAATAAGATTCTACTTTTGACCGTCCCATTTGTCATTGTCGGCAGCTTCTATCAAATTCAGCGAAAATGGTCCATTATCGAGCAATTTGGAAAATTGATAAGAGAAAGGCAAATGATATGCAAAGTAGAGCCAGCGGAGCTTCACTAAGTTATCAATGAAGCTTGCCACCGATTGGAAAAGCAAGGTGAGAAGTTTCCAGAGTTGAAAGGACTGGTTGGATTGAAGAAGAACATTGAGTCCACAATTTTCTTCAAATTCGACAGCAAGGTCGCCATCAAGGGCATGCGGGGTGTTTAGGCTCTCGTACCGGATCATTTGAGATCAAACTTTTGAGACCACGTAGCGATAGTTTCAATTCTAAACAATTTCCACTCTTGAAAACCTGCCATCTGTGACGAGAGTATCCAAAAGTGAGAGATTCATTTTCCCGTAGTTCTGCATTCCCCGGAGATGGTTTCCCCTAGTATAGGCTTTGAATAATCCATTTCAGTTGCTACTGGTATCGCTGCCAATGGAGTTTCGCAAGGGTACACTAGGCCAATGTTCGCAATCACATGTCCCTTAAACCACCTCTCACTTCCGTTAGTGATGAAATGTTAATGTTTGGTTGAATTTGGGAAGGATTGATGGTTTCATGTTAGGATGTGAGGGTAGAGGGTTTTGACGAAGCGATATGGGTGTGTAGGTGCAAAGATGGGTTGTGATTGTGAATATGAACCTGATTCGAGTATGCAGAAATGTCTCCCATTTTTATTTGTGACATAGAGTGACTATTGGCAATGGCTCAGGTAATTTGGTGAATGATGCGAGTTTGAAAGGAGTAGAAGTTACAGTGAGTTCAAGTTGTACCAATCTATTATGATCAAACAATTTTCTATATCTTATGCTCATATATCTTTTGAGAATAGACCACCCCCTACTCATCCCTCTTGACAAGTACCATAGGCCCCTTATATACATGTCGTGCTTTGAAATAGTAGTAGATGAGAGAAATGCTAAAAGCACCAACAAACATAACCGAAGACCAATTCATGTTCTCAAGCGTCACCGGAAGAGTAAGTGGCCAGAAAGCAAAGAACCAAAAGGGTGTCAGGAACATCAGGGCCCCGATGTTAATCGCCATTCCGTATTTTCCAAGAGACCATCTGCGATTGGGGAGTGGTCCTTGCGTGCGTCTCCAAATAAGACAGCTGATGGTGATATAGTAAGATGAGAGAATGGAAACAACGCCAAGAGAGTTGATAGCGTTGAGCGCAAATGCGGAGCCCAGGTTGATGAGAGACAGCAAGCAGCTCACAACAATCGATACGCATACTGCTCGAAGAGGAATATTCCAACCTGGTGAAATCTATCTCATAATTCAGAACAAAATACACATACAAATGGCGAGAGAATCATTACCTTGGATAACCAGCCGGAAGCAGGAAGGCCCTGATCTCTGGCAAAAGACCAAATTTGTCGGGATGTGGTGGCTACTTCGCTGACGCAGCAAGATAGAAGCAAGATAATTATTAGTGTAACCATAATATTGGTAGCAGTGTAACTCTGAGTAGAGTTGTACAATAGCTGGATAAATGGCTCTCCAGTTTTACTGTCGAGAATACTGTCTACGTCCCCGATACAAAAGATCAAGGTGAGAATCATGAAAAATGCCATGGCAGCATTTGGTACGATGGACCACATAATAGCTCTGGGGATTGTGATAGATGCATCTTGGATTTCTTCAGCTACAAAATTTGGATATCAGCACATTGATCAGTGTTGGCGACCGTTGCCGAGTGTCTACTGGTCGATGTTCAATATAACAGAAGGAATGGAATATCCTACACATATGAATAGAGCAATCGAAACCAACCAAAGCACCAAAAGGTACCGTCAAGCCAATCATAGCCGATAATCCTCTACTTGGCCAACTGCCTTCATTTGTGAAAGTGAGTAAAACTTCCGAGGCGTGGCTGAGATTAGGGGTTAAAATCCAAATAGGAATGGTAATTGCTAACATGCCGAATACGTGCAGAACTAACATTACACTTTCAATCATAGGCAAATGCGAAGATATCGAAGTGTTAAAAATGACTGAGAATGCGAGCACGGCAATGGTGAGCAAAGTCCCGTGGTAACTTTGCCTTATATAATCCTCGATATTTAAAGCGATGAGACCTTGCTACAATACCGGTGAATCAGCCATTATTTGACGTGGAGAGCTCTGGCGTAAACCCAGATAGCAATTCGTATGTAAATCGAGGGAAAAAAAATGATAAATTGTGATGCAGAAATTTGAGATCGATTGGTGTGCAAAGATCGATTGTGCTTACGATAATCAGAGCGACCACGAAGCAAACTCCGGCCAAGTAAAGTTGCCATCCGATAGCAGAAAGCCAGCCTAGACACAATTAGCTTCTGATTTACCTACTTTAAGAACTAAAATTGACTTACCGACGAGATAGCTAAAAAACTTTTGGATCTTAGGTGGCGCAAATTCCGATACCCAATGATATTGGCCTCCGGAAGTAGGCGATCTAACCATCGGTATATGAGCATAGGAAACCTATGTGATAAACTACTCACATTGAAGCCATCTCGGCGATACTGGCGTATACCAAACTCATACCAAAAGTACCAACGATGAAACCCCAGAACATATCGGCAGTCCCTCCATCTTCTAGAGAGTAAGCGAATAATCTAGACTACAATTAGAAACCACCATCGTCATTCATAAATGAAATGGAGATATCAAATTTCTTACGGAAGTAGTATTTCCCAACTTGCCATGGCGGTGCTTGATAAACCCAAGATGTTAATGAACTTAAAGTTTCGCTATAGCACAAGTTAATAATCTACTTGAGCACCATGAGATGAAGAATGATAATTACGCGTAGCTCCTGCTTCTTTCCTAAGACAGCCATATCATGCTTGTCTGATTGAGTACCTCGCCATTTCTCCGCAACCTGTCCAGGAATACCATCAACTCCCATCTTCTCCATGTCTTGGCCATTAGATTCTGCAATGGGAGATTCCAAGGTAATAAGCTCGTGGGTCGCAAAGTTAGTGCCATTTTCTTTGCTGATCGTGTAGGCCATGCTTGTTCTCAACTACTGATAATCAAAAGGTAAAGTCAAATTCAACGAGCGATACTCTATTTTTTGTGACGGCTGGGGAGCAAGATAAGACAATCCAAAAATGAAAAGCACACCAACTTAATGTACGATTCAAATATCAATGCGATAAGAGTCTGGTGCAACATGAGGCTCTGTTAGCGCAAAAGCCGCTAGAAATAGACATAAAGAGTATTAGATCTGACGTAGTACTAACGAACTAAAGCAATCTGCAATATTTGAGGTGATCATTTCCTTTCCGGAATATCATTGCATTCTTACACACCATTCCAAATTCAACTCGCCAACGAGTACAGGGCCAATTCGTTGCCAGATTCGGAACCGAGAAATCACGGTAAAACTACTTTCCTATCTTGTGGCTTTACCATTTAGATTGCATTACACTAAGATGCGACTTATCTGCTTGGAGAATTTAATGATACTCTGCATGCCTGTGGGGTTTTAATCCTCTGGCCTCTGTCTGAAGTCCCTTGAGAATCAGCTCACTGGTTTTCTGGCTCGGTAAGCGACTATTCCATGTAGATTTGTGTGACAGAACGTTGATATGCACATTTGAAATTTTGCCTGATGCAGATAATTTGCTTTAAGCATAAGCAAAACTGTGGAGGAATCCACATCTCTCCTCTATTCCCTGGTAAGATTTAATTCATCCTCCCCACAGATAGATAGTCATAGATGCAACTGATTGTGGTCCTTGAAATTAATTCTTTCAGGAAAGCCCCTTGCATCGGTCCTCGGAGATATCTTCAGCAATATCTCTTCCCGTCAAATTATCCGGTAAATTCTCTCAGATAAATTCAGATGGTTACTACCTTCACCGTTGAAGTATTGAACCAAAGGTTTTTCGTATGCATGTCATTGTCGCGGATCAGATTGATCAACCTTCGCGAATCGAGAATATAGCCTCAATACACATACCGCCAATTAGACACACCACAACCGAAATCTCCACTCAGATAGACGAAAAGCTTTTTGATTTTCCATCCATCAATTCACTCATAAGATTCAAGTTGCTGCCTTCTATTATATCTCAGCTATGGCGACTACAGATGTGGGTTCTAAGGCGGGACTCGAGACTTTCGAGGGCATCAATATAGATTATGAAAAGGCCTATCAAAACAACAAATTCAAAATTGCCTGTGTTACGAAGGCCATCTCCATACTCCCTTCGGGATCGAAGGTCCTTGATGTTGGTTGTGGAACCGGAATTCCGGTTTCACAAATGTTATCTCAAGCCGGTCTAGATGTCGTCGGCTTCGACATTTCTCCTAAAATGACGCAGCTTGCACAAAGTAGAGTTAAGGGCAGCTTCTCCGTAGCCGACATGGCCGAGTACGAAGTCAAGGAGGAAACGTTTGCAGGAGTCTTCATGATCTTTGCCCATCTCCAGATGTCGTACGCTGCCGTTCATGCCGCAGTGTATAAATATGCCAGAGCGCTTCAACCTGGGGGAATCATCGCTCTGGGACAGTCGCCAGGAGATCACCATGTCAAAGAAGAGTCCGCGTATGATGAAACTAGAACCTACGTTGAGGACTACAATGTCCCCTTTATGGGAGAGCCGCTGCCAACCTTTTTAATGAGCGCAGAGGGCCAAAGGAACTTTTTCCGATCGATGGGCCTGGAGATTGTGAGCGAAACAATTGATTTGTTCCAACCAGACAACCCAAGGTGTGATCCAGAAATGCAGCAGTATATTATTGCGAAGAGACCAGGGGATGGACCGTTATCACAACCACTACCTCTTCCTAAGGCGAAATAGTTGCATTTCATCTCATATTTACCCGTGATAGAATGGTAATACAGTTTAAATCAAGTATTGTTTCTACTTTCATGAGTGAATGAGCCATGAATCAGAACTGATTGTGTTTGCTCGGAAAACTTGACATCCGCCGAGTCATTATTTAGGGTGTTTTAAGCCAAGAGTTTAGGTTTAGGTAGCCCGATAAGCGAACCCCAAAAGTTTAAAATAATTTCCTTACGATTTTAGAATTAAGATTCGAAGCATTCATAAGCCCATAAATTGAGTATTGTTTAGCTAATCCTAGGATCTAGATTTAAGTATACTTCTAACGCAGTGATAGTTTCAACCAATTGCCGAATTGAATCAGTACTTAAACCCCATGAATGGAAATCTGTATGCCCCCTGTTTTCCGAATCAAACATCGTACGATGTTAACAACCGGCTAAATTGCTCCTGTGTCACAGTAGTACAATGGTGAGGGGTATGGATGTTTGGTGGGGTCAGGTCGTATTATCACATTGCTGTGCCTCAATCCACGCATGCAGGGAACGCGAAATCGGTCCAAATGATACAGGAGCTTTGGACGCGATGTGGTCGTGAAGTAGTATTGACTGGCCACTCAATAGCTTCTGTAAGAATTGGCTTTCCATTGGCTGGGCTTACTAAAAAACAATGAATTGAATTTGTTTCTTTGTGAATTACATGATAGGTTATGAAATAATGGCTTCGTGATTAGCCGTTGCATATTTGGGTATCTCTCCATATAGTCTCTACAGATATTCCGATGTCCAGAAAAAATCTCCGTCGCGTCCTTAATTATATACAGGAGAAGTGAAAATTGCAATGAAGACGGGTGACAAACTTGAAGCGAAATTGTGCCGCAGCTCACATCGTCTTTGAGCCTGAACACCGTTCATTATTCCCTACCATAATTCATCCGGCTGATCATAATCGTATTTCCTTCTCGCAATTCTTTCTTCGGCCTGTTCTTCAAGATATCTCTTCTTGACAGACGCTGGCATTTCCGGTGGCATGTAAGGTTTAATGACCCATTTCTGATCTCCGTGGTCTTGTCCGACTCGAGGTCCGTCGTATGGACTTATCTCTGGAGGCTGGTAACCCATCCGTGGCCCTTGTTTTTGACGCTCGATAGTAAGCTCCTCTTGCGCTTCTTGCAATTGTTGAATGTGCGGATTCCCAGCCTCTGTCGAGGTAAGTGATGGAATTCTTTGCAGAGGGTAATATGTAGGTGATATATGATTAGTCTGATGATATTCGCCAGGGCCTCGAGGATGACTTGGAGGATATGTTGGACTAAAACGATAATTATTAATTGAGTTTTGACCTGGACTCATCGTATTCCCTTTGAGACCGCGTAGGCTTTTGAGACTAGATGCGAATGATAGAGGCGACTTTGGAGTGGTCGGAGGAGGTGGAAAGTAAATGCCGTTATTGCTGCTTTTGCTGCCTTTTCGCCTTTGATCTTGAGAGTCTTCTTGATCTGGAAAAGTAAATGCAGTAGGGGAGCTGCTTGTGGCGAAGAACCGATTCGGCCGACGTCGAAATCCAACATGATGGGGGTATTGATAGTGGGGTGGAGTTTCAAGGGCGCGTTGTCGTCGTCGTCTCGAGCGAATGAGGTAGATAGCTAATGCGGTGCATATAAGAACGAATGGAATGGTCAGGGATAGAGCGAGGATAAGTCCCAGTTTGTGATCTTTCTTGTCCCCTTCTGCACTCGGTGTCGTAGTGGTTATGTTGAAAGTATGCGAGACGATAGATTGACTCGTTGGTATGGTGGTGTTGCCGTTATCGTTGAGAGTCCCGGGTTCCTGTCAATTCGTCAGTATGCTCAATGTGATTATATTCGATCAGAAATGTTAGATTCGAAAACTTAATGGAGTAAATGATGACACTTCATGCTTTCGCGCATTCTCATCACTTAGCATACTGAAACGACGCGTAAAGAGATGGGTGCTGCCAATGATACGGTACAAACATAAACATTTACCAAAACTAGACTTTTATTTGTAACCGCCCAATTTATTCGCATGAAGCTTTTCATGGTCTGCCCTCACAAACGCGCCCGTGATACAATGCCCAAATGATAAAGATACTGATCTGATGTCTTTGGAAGAAATTTCGCCATGCTTACAAGTAGTAGGTAAAACACAGGAGATGAAGATAATGAAAATGCGTATGTCTGAACTGTCCAGTTCAGTGACGTATCTCCATCATAGGATTCTGTGATATCAGAATTAGTAAGAGACAATGGTTGCGGCAACGAGGAAACAATCATCTTACCTAAAAGAGCCGGACCTTTGGAATATCCATTTCCATCCGAGTTTTGATTCCATAATGCGATTGTGTAGTTGTTAAGATTCGTTTCCCATGATAACATTTGCTGAGTCCCTGTCACCCAGATCGGATTCTGGGTCGCCTCTGCACTCGGATTGACGAATTCTCCAGGAGACGACATAGATGAGACTAGCAGCACCAGATCAATGAAGATGAGCCAACACAACATTTCAATCTTGTGTCCGCTGAATACAGTTTCACATATCGGATTTATCGAAAGACTAAGGAAAGAACGTAAAAATGTAGAATTGGGTCTGTGCTACCATACCAACCTATATATCAGATATATTAGAAAGAAGAAGCGGATGATTTTCAATTAAACCTTGTGCATATTGATCTAGGTATACCTGAGCCTTGGGGGCTTTTGATGCGAAAAGCAAAAAAGTCGCAGGTATTGTTGCGAGGATCGGCGGGATGACACCACGACACACAGCCTAATCAGTGCACTCAACCAAACTGTCGGGTCGTCCCAAAAGTTTATGATCATCTTATTGGATGCGGATGAAGTAGCCATAAGCGCGCACTACTTCACTAAAGAATTATTGGGTGTGGGCGGCCCCAGTATACTGAATGCATGAAAAGATAAAAAGCCTATCAGGATGGCCAAGAAGGAAGCAATGATTAGGGCTCGAAGAGCCGTTTTTCACTTGACCGGCAGTTTGCTGCGCCTAGATGAATAATTTGATTGGACGCGGGACACGGAAGGACATAAACAAGTAAGCAGATCCGCAAATCGTATTGAGAAAACATTCTGGGGGGAAAGATCTAGGCGATCGCCGTTGTAGCAGCTGAGCTCTCTTCGAATCCACATGAAGAATGATTATTCATTCCATGACAAAACAACACAATATACAAGAAGCATTCGATAACGATTATGTTCTGGCAGAGATAGAATATACAAGGCCTAGGTAGAGAATATCATTCAATGACTAGCCCATGCTTCGTTAAGTAGGTGCAGGTAGAATGAAAATATCACAACAAAAATGAACAAATATGGTAAAAGGTAAAGATGCAGAGGTAGCAGTTAGGAAGGTAGAAAATGTCCAGCCCCTCGATAAGCCGATAAAATCACCAATAAGAAGTTTCAGACAATCTAAATCCTTGTTGATGTTTTTGTTGTTGTTGGAAGGAGATGTTGATCACATGCATCTTAAATTGATGGTGACTTCCGTTCGCTTGGCATGAACCACCCACGGTCCCACACACACTTCACCACACTCCACCACACCCTCTCGTGCCTCGGGCCTTGTCACGACGTTTACAATCACATCTTATCCATTTCATTCGAATACTGCACTGTAGGCAGACATCGACAAGCTACGGAAACTTGATTTTTGATGTCATAATGTGCCATGCACCATGTACCGTATCAAGAGACTATCTGCGGTCCGTCCTGTTGATAAGCACTTAAATTGCTCCGCTGTATTGACCGTAAGCAAGGCTTATTTGAAATGTTAATGGATGATACATCTGATGTCGAATATTCATAGGATATCATCGGCCAAGGTTTTACCAAAGGGATATATAAAATCTTCCAAGACCGTGGGTATCTATTGATCTGAAATTCTGAATCGGTGATTAATTTCTAACCGTATATGCCGAGGTGTTCGCTTCGATTTCGCTTCAATGTTTTCCCCGTATTGCTCCCTGTTGATTCTTCCTTCCAGGTTTCTCATGAACTTTTGGGTTACATTGCATTATATATCAATATTTGATAATGCCGTTTTCTACTTACTTGGATTGCGTACGCCTATTGAGGCGCTTCTACCACGAGATCAAATTGTGAACCTTCGAGGGCCTAGCGATTGATGCGTCGGTTGAACATGTGTCTTCAGCTGTTTTCTTACCCCTCTTCATTTGTTTCATGCTTTCCCCATGGGGATGTGTACAGTCTAAAGCAGCATCTACTTAACCGAAACTTCAGATCCACTAGCAAGCGCAGTCATGAGCTTACCCTATAAATGTTGTGATACACAGATATAGTTTTATATTTATATGCGTCACAAGTGTAAATGGCACAACGCCATGTTAGTGGCAAGGAATAGAATCGTTGTGATGAGATGAATAATCTTTCAAACGCGAAATTGATGGATTGCTTAAACCTGAATATATTGGCATACCAATCAATCGCTGATATCGTATGGTTTCTGCGTAGTATCAAAACTCTACTTTCAGCCGTGCCCGAGTCTTTTCCGCTTATCCCCTTCAGTGACGTGGATATCATTCTTTCACTGAGACCGCTTTTGGAAGAGTATAAACCATGAAAGCTCATACGTTGTTCTTATCTCATCTTTTCGCTCTCATCACAAAATTTAATTATGAGCAAACACAGCAAACACAAACCGCTTAATTATGAATCAAAACAAGCTCGGTTCTCTAACAACAAACATAGTCCAGATGGCTTAGTGGCAGCGCACTAGGTTTTTCACATCCCCTAAAACGGGACCTCTGCTTAATGTCCGAAGACTAATTTGCTTGATAACTCAGTTCGTCTGGTTTGGTTCCGGTCTCCGTACGCGCTATCTAGGAGAGATTGAATTTTTGCCATTTTATTCTCTATTTTACCTGACAATATTTTTTGGGCGCGATAATCCAAGAGAGAGAAAGCAGGGAAATGTCAGTGCAAAGAGATCACTTCACTCAAAGTTCCATCGATTCGAGTTTCGAGGCACATGGTGAACAATCTGGCTGATGAATATCACATTGTTTTCGAGCAAATCGATGTTTTTGTAATTTAAGCTAAGGATTGGAACTTTAATCAAGGTAAGACTTGTTGTGCGTCTCGATCTACTAGTCACTCTCTTCAAACCCCAAAAGCAGCAGCTATATAATCTCAGAATTCTTCCTAGCAGTTAGTGGGATAATTAAACAGTAGAGTTGTGGTGAATCAGTGTGTCGTTCGATGCGTCTTATCTAGGCTCAGAGTTGTAAATTAGTCCTTTCGTTGACTTTTGAGAATGATGAATATAAATTTGCACTAAATATTGCACATCAAACTGTTCCAAGGTTATTAAGGGGAGAACTCAAGCAATACACAGTGCAATCAGCTCCAACAAGGGGCCCTATGAATGTTTTTCTACTATAATTCTAAACCAGATTCAAGATATCAAACAATTGCTCCCCCGCCTCTCAACCACGCCCTAACCCATGCTCTAACCTCCTTATCCCCTACCCCCTTCATATCAACCCCTCTTCCTTTTAGGTCACCCCTCCTCACATCTCCCCAAATTCCACACGTTTCATCGTACCTCTTTCCACTCCACAACTCCCACATACAAATCCCCAACGCATAAAGATCGTCTTCTTTGGTCGCTTTCCTATCCCTTCCTTTCATCCACTCATTTGCCCGATTTGGGGAAACTATCCTTCCGTTAAGTATTGGTGTCCATTGTTCTTCTTTTTCATGATCAAGTGAAGTTTGAGAAGAAGAATTTGAAATAAAGAGAGAATCGTGGAAATTATTAAGTTTAACACCGACGTGATCGTTTGAATTTCCAGAAGCGCAGAGCAGAAAATTCGAAAGATAGATATCACCGTGCACAATTCCCTTTTCATGCAACTCCCACACAACCTGACGCATGGATTCAGAAATCTTCTTACGCTGGGTGGGTAAATACAAACGGGGAGTTAGAGGCATTTCTTGCGCGATTATGAGGCCGAGTGTGCCGTTTTGGTAACAGTCGGTGTTTTCGGGAATGGAAACAGTTCCGTGTATAGTTACGCCGCAGGAGCCGGCGGCAAGATGCATTTGTAGTTCATGAGGCGTAACACCCGATTTGTATAGGAGGGAGTGAGAATAGAAGAAGTGAAATGTGGATGTCAGAGTGGAGGCAAATGGAGTCGGGTTTATGAACGGAGTGATGGTTTCGAGAGGATGTTTTGGGGGTGTCCATTGTGATTCGGCTTGAGATGTTGAGTCTGAGACACTGGAACTTTGAGATTGAGGTGGGCATTCTATAGTCGTTGGTTTTTGCGAAGGGGTATATGAGGTCGGATGTGAAGGGAGTTCGGGCTTGTATGTTATAAACGAGGGAGCTTCGTAATTGTAACTTTGAGGTTGCCATTGCATGCTGACAATGTCGCTTCGTGATTCCGTATTCGGAGCTCCTCGTTGATATGGCGAAGAATCTGTGCTGTTCAGTATTTGAGATTGCCAAGATGCGGTATTGTTATCTTGTACCGCATTCTCCGCAGTCCTTTGATATGCCGATGTATTGTAGCGATTATTCCACTCTCCTGACATCAATGTCGGGCACATCGCGCTCGAGTTGTTCGCAGTAGATATCGGGGTTCCTTTTATTTTTACTGTGTT